CTGACAGATTGATCGCCTTGCAGTCCAAGGGACTCTCAGGAGTCTTTTCCAGCACCATAGTTCAAAGGCCTCAATTCTTTTGTGCTCAGCCTTCCTTATGGAAGCCATGAGTATTTTGCAGTAAATCTCTACATCTAAGGAAGGCTTGCTAAAGAGATATCCATCTTCAAATAGGTAATACCACTTGCTAATCTAGCACATGAATCCCAACTGTTAGTCCTCTCCAGGAACAGAGATAACAGGAAGAAATCATATCATATAATCACAACCTATACATTTACACTTGGTAGTATCCCTTATTAGCATTCTTGAGGACTGGGAAGAAAATGATCTTGTATAGTTCTTCTGTGTAATTTTGTACCTCTTCTTAATCTCTTCTGCCTCTGTTAGGTCCCTATCATTTTGGTCCTTTATTATGCCCATCTTTGCAGGAAACGTTTCCTTCATATCTCAAATCTTTTTGAAGAGATCTCTGGTCCCCCCGGAGATACGGAGGATCCCAGATCTACGCACCTTCCGCTGCGCTCTCAAGACCTTTTTATTTCACCAGGCTGGCCTGGCCTAACCTCTCCCATTCTCTTTTTAATGTAAATTTTAATGTAAATTTTAATTTGCTCTTAACCTGGGGTTTTAAATTTGTCTTGGGCTAAATTGATTTAATTCGATTTTACTTCTGCTCTTAAATTTTTGTATTCTATGTGTTTTATCTTGTGCCTGTTCACCGCCCTGAGTCTTTCGGGAGTAGGGTGGTATATAAATCAAATAAAATGAAATGAAATGGTCCTCCATATTTTTTTTTGTTTTCATCGATTTCTTTTCACTATTCATTTAAGAAGGCATTCTTATCTCTTCTAGGGATTCTCTGGAATTCTGCTTTCAATTGGGTGTATCTTTCTCTTTCTCCCTTTCCTTTCACTTCCCTTTTTTCCTTAGCTATTTGCAAAACTTCTTCTGACAGACATTTTGCTTTCTTGCCTTTCTTTTTCTTTAGGATCTTTTAGTTGCTACCTCTTGTACAATGTTGCGAAACTCCGTCCATAGTTCTTCAGGCACTCTGTCTATCAGATCTAATTCCTTAAATACATTTGTCACCTCTACTGTATATTCATCAAGGATATGATTTAGTTCACACCTGAGTGGTATGATTTTAATTACATTTTATGGATTGTTGTGAATTGATATGAGAGATATATTAGCTTTGTAAATAGTTAAGTAAATAAAATAAAAGCTTTGGTTTTGCAAAAAAATTATTCTAAGCAGATTGAAACAGTTACAATAGTAAGAAACCTTCACACTTTCCTTTTGAGTAGAAGAAGGTGTGGAGGTTTCTTACTATTGTAACCATTTTCCTTACCTGGCTACTGAACTATATGAATAATTTTCCTCATTTTTTCCTCCCAAGTCATAATGTGGAGAAAATGATAGGCAGAATCAGTTCTGGTGATTTTGATACGATTCCTTTGATCCTGACATAACTAGCTTGCTATCTCTCTCTGATATTTTTTTTTGGCAAGAAGCTCCTAGTGGTGTCAATGGGACTGTTCTTCTCATAGAAATTTCAAAAATGTCTATCACTTGCAAAGTTCAAATAAATTGAATAATTTAATTGTAATGTCAACTTGCAAAGCAGCCCTGGCCTGCTCTTGAGTTGCCATAGGCAAGGGGGATGGGAAACCGACAAAACAGCATAGCAGCCAAAGACAGATGCACATTCCAGACTTATCTCTCTCAAGGCTGTATCCCAGGATTATAACAGCGACTGGAGAGGAGTGATCTCAACAACCCGCGGAATTGCTCCGTTAGTGAATGTGATTGATGAAACACCTTGGGGAGACGGAGGAAACAGGGTCATGATTGGGGCGTAAATTATGTGGGGTCAGAGTTGACTTCAGTTGGGAACATGCCAACATGAAGCTCTTAATAAATAACTGGATTTCTTTTGAAGCTTGGCTCAAGGCTCATGATTTAATTAGGGCATCCATCGGAACCCTGACATGAATAATGAGAAGTTGATTATCTTTTTGGCATTGCACTATATAGATATAAAGCTACAGTAAATATGACATGCTTTCATGAAAATCCAAATTGAAGATTTATTTACTTCTTTATTGGAATTTGTCAAAGAAAAATGAGAACAAGAATAAGAGAATAAGTATACAATGATAGGGATGATAGCAGTTGTGAAATTCAATTTTTTTTACTACCATCTACATTTACTATCTGTGGGTGTGGCTTCGTGGGCGTGGTGTGGCTTCGTGGGCGTGGTGTGGCTTCGTGGGCATGGCTTGGTGGGTGTGGCAGGCGAATGATGCTGCAAAATCTCCATTCCCACACCAATCCAGGAGAAGGATACTGCAAAATCCCCATTCCCACCCTACTCTGGGGCCAGCCAGATGTTGTAATTGCCAGTTCTCCGAACTACTCAAAATTTCCATTACCGGTTCTCCAGAACCTGTCAGAACCTGCTGCATTTTATCCCTGGACGATAGGCACATTAGTGCACTTATGCACACTCCCTCTACTGACCACTTAAAGCATGAAGTAAGGTTCACGGAAGTCAGTTTGTGATTGAAACTGTGAAAATTTGTAGCTGAGACAACTGAATCAGGTAGGGTATTCCAGATTTTGACAACTCTATTACAGAAATCATATTTTTACAGTCAAGTTTAGAATGATTTACATGGAGTTTAAAGTGGTTGTTCACACACATATTATTGCGATTAAAACAGAAAAAGTGATTTACAGGTAAAACATTATTATGTATAATTTTGTATTCAATACCTAGGCCTGACCGCAAGCAACAACGTTCTAATTTATACATACTGAGAATTTCGAGCCTAGTAGCATAGGGACATTGTGTACAGAAGAGTGCAAGACTTTTCTGGTGAAGTAATTCTGAACTTGCTCAATTGTACTGATGTCAGATATATGGTCGGGATTCCAAACAGTTGAACAATACTCTAAGATTGGTCTGGCATAAGTTTTATTAGCTGTAATGAGCAATACAATGTTTCCAGAAAAAAACTTTGCAAAATTAAGTTTACAACTCTTAATGCTTTTTTAGCAATGCTGTTATTTTATGCTGCAAATAATTTTTCTGAGGACCACCAAAATTTTCTCGTGGACCACCAGTGGTCCACGGACCATCAGTTGGTGACCACTGTCATAGGTCAATGCCACCTATCTTATTCTTGGCATTCTGACTACGTTTAACAATATGTAAGACAGAGCATTTATGAATCGAAATTTGACCATTCAGACACATAGTCGAGATCACTTTGCAAAACAACAGATCTGTAGAATTGAATAATTTTACGTCATCAAGAAAAAGAACACAACTGCTTTTAACTTGCACACATAAATCGTTGATATAGAAAGAAAAAAGATGATGAAATTTCTTACATTGCAGCGAGAACACCTTCTACCACATTCTGCCCTTCTTGTTGGCTGTTCATGAAGTCAACCAGAATTCAAGGCTCTTACCCAACATCACCCTGGGCTACAACATCTATGAGACCTTTTTCAGTGCAAGAATGACATATGAGGCCATGCTGGATGTACTGTCTACAGGACAGGAGAACATCCCAAACTACAGATGTGGAAGACAAAAGAACCTGCTGGCGATTCTTGAAGAGATGGATTCTGAACTCTTTGATCATATTTCCAATGTCCTGAGCATTTATAAATTTCCACAGGTATAAAGCCAAATGAAATTAATTCCGTGTTCTAAAATGTTCAGATTTGCCTAGCAGGCAGTATATATTTCTTGTATATATTTCTCCAAATAAATTGAAAGTCAGAGAGTAAATATTAGAGGAGCTGAAAGAATTGTTAATTCACAAAGTATATGTGTATACATAAAGTGATGGGCTGCTGCTGGTTTGAACCAGTTCTAGCGAACCGGTAGTTCCGGCAATCAGTTGTACCTGCCCACCTACCTGCCCCCATCCTATCCTGTCCTAGATTTCTGCATTTTTCAACTCAGCTGATTTTCACAGCACAATAGATTTCCGGCCCTCAGCATTTTTACTTACCTGGGGCTGCCCTAGAAGGTAAGCTGTAGAGGTTAAAATTGGTGTATTTTGAATGCTGTGCACATGCACAAAGCACACACTCACAGAAACACAGACACACAGACACACATGTGGTTGGACTAGAAGACTTTCCAGCTCTATTCTCATTGACTAATTGACTGAGTGGATGGGTGACCCACAGAGTTATAATGTGACAGAAGGGTGTGCTCTATGAGGATCACCAATGAACATATAGATAATTCAGAGCTCCCTGGTTTCAAAGGCAGCATAGAAGACAACAGGACAGAACATCAAGGGAATTAGCAAAATTCATGCAGTTATCGTTTGAATTGTCTCTCAGCAGTGTGGAAAGGCCCTTAGATTTACCATCTGACTTTAATCATTAAAACTGGCACAAACTACTGTTGGAAGAAATACCCTTCTGGGTTCAGTTCCAAGGTGGGGGGAAAGACTCAGGATTCAAGGAAGTTGCTTGGAAAGATGGTATTAATAGTGGACAGGATCACATGCCTTGATGATGTTGGGTGAAGAAAAAAAGGGAAGAGATGCTGAGAGTGACTGAGTTTTATGCCCTCTCTGGGATTTTACATTTGAGCTTTATTCTGATTGGTTGTCAGACTCCCATGGGACCATGCAGAGGCAACTCTGTAGGTTGTGTTTTGAGTCCATGTTTGGTTGAGCCTTGCTGGATTGTGATGTATTGAAAGGGCTTTGGAATTGCTATTATGGTTCTGCCTGAAGCAGGTAGATCTTTGTTGTGTAGAATAGACTGGCTCAGGCCTTAATGGCCCATTGACAAAGGTGGGGGGCTGAGTTTCTGCCTCCCTTTTAGGGGAAATATTCTTCCCTTTTAATATTTCCTAAAATATCTCATTTTCCTAGGAGGGGGTGGGTGCTAACTTCCTACACTACCAATACCTTCTCTTTTATCTTAGATTAACTATAGTGTCATCAACCAGATGGCTGAGAAAAATCATCGTTTTCCTTTTTCATATCGGATGACCCCAAACCAAGAACCTCCTGACTCAGCAATTGTCCAGCTGCTCCTGCAGTTCCAGTGGACGTGGATCGGCCTCCTTTCTCAGGACAATGAAAAAGGAGAAAAATTCAAAAGACGTTTGGAAGTCCTTGCTCTAAAAAATGGGATTTGCATTGTCCTCTCAGGATCTGTCCCAGAAGCAAATGTGCAGACAAGTGTTGGAGATACTCTCATGCAAAAGAAAAGGAAAATGTTCTTTTCTCTTATCAAGAGTCAAATAAAAATTATAGTATGCCAACTAGATTTTCAGGCCTCAGGAATGTTAGCAGCAATAATACAAACGATTGATATGATTAATACACCCATTGTGGGAAGGGTGTGGATTGCAACAACTTTGACAGCTTTAAGTGTAAGTACTTTTGACCTCTTGGTTGATCTCCAAAATAAATATGCTTTGTTTTCCTTCCTCATCCAGACAAAGAGAAGGACTCAATATGATGACATTAAATCTTATGCATCTACGGTCATATCGTATGGAAAGGAAGCATTCCAATGTTCTTATTCAAGTCCTGTGTTATCTAAGAAAGTTTGGAAAAAATGCAGACAAAAAGAGAATTGGGAATTCCCACCCCCTGATGTGATTGCAAGAATCCTATCTCAGGATTCCTCGAGTATTTCCCAAATAATTCAAATTGTGGCCTGGGTCCTCAGTGCTGCCTCCTCCTCCCAACAGAGTAAGAGGAGAATGCAAGTTGGAGATCATCAAGCATCCCAGATTGTACAGCCATGGCAGGTAAGTCTTCTCCTTTGAGGTTACATTGAGTCTACCCTTCTAATTCCTCAATATTAAATTAGATGTAGAAAGGGGTGAGATATTCCAAAGAGCAGTTGCCCAGTTTGTGGTATTTGAGAGTGAGTGTCAACCCTGAAACTGACCTGACTGAGGCCATTTTGATGCTTCAGTGTTGCCACATTGGAGCTGAGGGATAGGGAGCGGAGGAATAGACATAGCTGGAGTTTTGGTGCCAAAGCAAAATATTTTCTCCTGTGAACCAAGGACATTCCCACCAATGGCCGGAGGGAGGATGAGTGAAGCCACCAGGCAACCGAATGACACCTTGATTGGACCATGTGACCGATTGTTTGGAAAAGGGAGGAAAACTTTTACTTTTATTAGGAGAAAACTGTGGGAACATTTAGAGTCAGTTTTCACCAGCCTGTGCCTATATGATATGTCCAATAAAACTGATGTTTGAGGAACCTGCTTACCTCGGAGTCTTGTTTGCTATGGGTGTATTACTTGGAACCCTGATGGTGAGTTAGAGAGAAATGATAGAGAAAAATCTTCCAAAGTTAAACAACCTGTGCTAGTTTGGGATGCTTTTGTGACAGAAATAGCTCTATGGTGACAACGTAATTTTCCAAATCAACAAGCATCAGAAGCTAAGGAGATCAGCTGGATTCTTTGTTCTGGATTAAGATTGAACTTTGCTGGCTAAAAGTTTCTAAGAAAGCAACAAAATATAAATCAAAGCATCTTCTGGGGGGCAACAAAAATGAATGGATATGCTTCCATAGCTACTCTTTGAAAGAGATAACATCACTATGCAATTTTTGTCACATTCCTAGCCCAAAGTTAAACTCCGCTAACTTCATCTTGATCAGGACTGATGGCAAAATTGTATTCTCCATCTTCTCCCTTTACAAGATTTCCCATATCTGCAAATGGTCTTGCCTCTGATGGGCTGTGAAGGTGAAGCAGCAAAACATAGAACATAAAAGATAGAATAATAAGAGTTTGAAAGGACCTCAGAGGTTTTTCTAGTCCAACCCACTAATCAAGCAGAAGACCCTGCACCATTTCAGACAAAGATGCAGCAGCTGCAAGCTTGTTGTAGCGAAAGTTACAGGAAGCTGCTCCCTTCCTTAAATCTGCTGCCACCATTGCCATCCTGTTCCATGCACGTGTGCACACTGTTGCCTGCTGCCGCTGATAAATGATGAATGAATAAGTAAATGGTGTGCACATGCGTACGCAGCACATGGAACAGAGTGGCGATGGCAGCGATGGGTTTAAGAAGGGGAGCAGCTTCCTGTACCTTTCGCTACAAGAAGCCTGCAGCTGCTGAATCTTTTGGCACAAAAAGCACCTCCAGGCGCACCCAAACAAAAAAAGAGGCCGCGGCTGCAGGCATCTCATGACAAGGGAGGTGAGATGTGGGCTGGAATTCAGCCCAGCGGCGATGGCTAAGCCCTGGCTTGCCTTCCTTGGCAGCCAGCCGTGAGAGGAAGTTAAGGACGCATAACGTGGCAAAGGGAGAGGGGGCAGTGATCGACAAGCGGGTGGCAGATCCAGGACAAGGACGAAGCCATGGAATGGTGAATTCCCCGACCTGGTCGAGGTGGGCAGTGAGTGGGGGGCATCTGCAGGGCCTCAGGGAATCGCATTTTCCTGAGTGTGGCCCCTGGCCCCAACCCAAGTCGAAGGGCGAGCAGGTAGCATGCATTGCTTACCTTTGGTGAGCTGAGCAGGTGAGGCGATTGTTGAGGCAAGTAGCTGGGCTGCATGGCAAAGAGAACTTATATAGGATGGAAGTGGATGGGTGGTCTGAGCACCCAGAAGCAGCAAGTGAGCCGGAAGGGGTGAGCGAGTCGGAAGATGTGAGTGGGCAAGCGGGTGAGCTGGCATGTGTGGACCACCAGAGATGATTGCTACTGGTCTGGTGAACTGATGCCAATCATCCCTACCGGTTCTCCCAAACCGGTTCGAACCAGTAGGATTTTACCCCTGCTGTAATTGTTCTTGGTATGTTTTAGCCTTCAGCTCCCTAATCATTTTTGTTGCTCATCTCTACAGTTTTTCCAGTGTTTCAATATCTTTTTTATATTGTGTTGACCAGAACTGGATGCAGTATTCTAAATGTGGTCTTACTAAGGCTTTGTAAAGCGATTTTAGAACTTCATGTGATCTTGATTCTATCCCTTTATTAATGCAGCCTAGGGTTGCATTGGCATTTTTGTCTACTGCCACATATTGCTGGCTCATATTTAAGTAATTGTCCACTAGGACTCCAAGATCCTTCTCACGGTTACTGGCATTAAGCCAAATTTCACGTAGTCTGTACCTATACTGTTGGTTTTTCTTGCCTAAGTATAAAACCTTACTTTTATCTATGTTGAATTTCATTTTGTTAGGTAGGGGCCCATGTTCAATTTGTCAAGATCTTTTTGGATGTTGAGCTTGTCTTCAGGGGTGTTGGCTATTCCTGCCAGCTTAGTGTCATCTGCAAATTTGATCAGTTCCCCTTCAATTCCCTCGCCTACATCTTTTCTGAAGACATTGAAGGGTGCTGGGCCTAAAATAGAAACTTGGGGTACCCCATTGCTTACTTTCCTCCTTGTGGATGAGGTTCCCCAGAGGACTACATGTTGAATATAATTTGTTAGCCAGTTACAAAGCCACCTGATGGTGGTGTTATCTTTTCCATGTTTTCAAGAATGTGAGATTATCAGTGACTTGGATGAGGGGATAGATGGGGAACTCATCAAATTTGCAGATGACCTCAAGCTGGCAGGAATAGCCAACACTCCGGAAGATAATCTTAAAATACAGAAGGATCTTGACAGACTTGAATATTGGGCACTATCTAACAAAATCAAATTCAATGGAGAAAAAAGTAAGGTTCTGCATTTAGGCAAGAAAAACAAAGTGCACAGGTACAGTATATGTGGTACCTTGCTCAATAGTAGTAACTGTGAGGGGGATCTTGGGGTCCTAGTGGACAACCATTTAAATATGAGCCAGCAGTGTGCAGCAGCTGCCAGAAAAGCCAACACAGTTGTGGGCTGCATAAACAGAGGGATAGAATGAAGATCACGGGAAGTGTTAATAACACTTTATAATTCTTTAGTAAGGCCATACTTGGAATACTGCATCCAGTATTGGTTGCCACAATGTAAAAAAGATGTTGAGACTCTAGAAAGAGGGCAGAGAAGAGCAACAAAGATGATTCGAGGACTGGAGGCTAAAACTTATGAAGAACGGTTGCAGGAAATGGTTATGTCTAGTTTAATGAAAAGAAGGACTGGGGAGACATAATAGTAGTGTTCCAATATCTCAGGGACTGCCACAAAGAAGAGGGGGTCAATCTATTGTCCAAAGCACCTGAGGGTAGGACAAGAAGCAATGGGTGGAAACTAATCAAGGAGAGATGCAACCTAGAACTAAGGAGAAATTTCCTGACAGTTAGAACTATTAATCAGTGGAACAACTTGCCTCCAGAAGCTGTGAATGCTCCAACAGTGGAAGTTTTTAAGAAGATGTTGGATAGCCATTTGTCTGAAGTGGTGTAGGGTTTCCTGCCTAAGCAGGGGATGGACTAGAAGACCTCCAAGGTCACTTTCAACTCTTCTCTTCTCTTCTCTTCTCTTCTCTTCTCTTCTCTTCTCTTCTCTTCTCTTCTCTTCTCTTCTCTTCTCTTCTCTTCCCTTCCCTTCCATTCCCTTCCCTTCCCTTCCCTTCTCTTCCCTTCCCTTCCCTTCCCTTCTCTTCTCTTCTCTTCTTTTCTCTTCTCTTCTATAAATATTTGAAAAAGAACTGTAAATTCCTGGTGAATGACTGGAAGAAGCTTCCCATGAAATGCTGAATCAATCTGTTTCAGATTATAGTGATGATTTGAAGAGGTTGAATTATTCAGAGTACCTCCAATCCAGAATAATAGCAAGAAAAACATTGAATAAAGGCTCAAATTGGAATTTTTTTTAATGTTTCTGCAGCTTCATAGGTTCCTGAGAAGCTTCCAACATCACAATATTTCCAGAGATGGGATTTCTTTTGATGAAAATGGAGTTCCTGTTGGTGACTTTGATATCATGCAGTGGACATCACCTTTGAACAAATCAGACATGGGGGTGAAAATTGGGATTGTAGAAAGACAAGCCTCCTTGGAAGTCAAGATTTCTGTCAATCAAAGCGCCATCCAATGGCCAACTTTATTTAACAAAGTAGTTGAGGCTGCTTGGATTTTGCTCTTCTATTTATCTCCATATGTGGAAATTTTTCTGCTCAGAAATAATTCTGATTGAGGCCAATTGAGATACCTTCCAAATAAGAGAACGTAAAGCCTCATTAATTCATTAGATATCATTTTACTTTAGAGGTTTTACAATAATCTATCACACACTGGAAACTGCTACATAGTATTATGGGATTTGCAATCTACATTATTAAACTGGAATATGTTGCCACAATTTATAGTACATCAAATTATCTTCTTTTCAGTAAGAGAAAATCCAGAATGTCTATGGTCAGAATGTCTCAGTCATCCAGGTCATGGTTGTGCCAAAGGTGCTTTTTCAAAAGGCACCTGGACTTTGTTTTCCCTTGAAGATGTTTCACTTCACATCTAAGAAGCTTCTTCAGTTCTGACTGAATGGTGGAGGATGGAAAGATTTGGAACCGCTGAAAAGACTGTGTTGTAAACAGGATATAGATTCAGCAATTGCAGGAAGGTTCCACACCCATTTGCACTATTCAGGTGGCCCTGAGGGTGCAGATAAATTCCAAGTGGCCTCAACAACTTTCAGAAAGACTGCTAACGACCAGATGACTGTAAGAAATATAAATCCTTCCATACTCCACCATTCAGTAAGAACTGAAGAAGCTTCTGGAATGAGAAACGAAATGTCTTCAAGGCAAAACCAAGATCAGTTCTATTTTGAAAAAACACCTTTGGGGGAAAATCCAGAATATGAATGTTAAGCCCACTGAATTGCATAAGAGAAAGATATCACTAAGAATGTGGTGAGGGAAATGAGGGCAGCTTAAAAAGTCATTTAAGATATGATGATACAATGATCAGTTGTAGGGGAAAATGATAGGGACACTAGAGAAAGCTAGATGTTGGAGGTTTCCTGAGAAAGCAAAGATGGAGAAAAAAATATATACCATATTTTTTGGAGTATAAGATGCTCTGGAGTATAAGGCGCACCTTAGTTTTGTGGGAGGAAAATAAGAAAAAAAAATCTGCCGTTGTCTACCAGCATCCATCAGTATTCATCTGGCTAGCGTCCTGTCAGTGTGTGAGAGAGTTGAGGGCTGTTTGAAAACTGAAACAGTATTTGCTGTGGGAGCAACAAGGAAGGAGCCTGGGCATAGCTTAGGTCAATTATTCTAAAGCTGCATGCTGTGCTGATCTCTGAAACTGAAACTCCTCTGTTCTACTTGTGTTTTCCTTTCTGCTAAATTATTGCAGCCTG